TTGCAAGTGTTCAACAAAGTGCTTTTAAAGAGGAATTGAAAAAGCTGCATAAAAAGGAACACATTTCAAAACCAAGCCCCCTGTGGAATCTAAACCCATTCATAGACTCAGATGGACTGTTAAGAGTGGGAGGTCGCACTTCTTTAGCGGACATTTCATATGATGAAAAGCACCCACTCATACTCCCCAAAAAGCATCATGTGTCAACTTTGCTGGTGAGACATTACCACAAAGATGTCGCTCATCAAGGTCGCCATCTCACCGAAGGAGCACTCCGTACTGCAGGTATTTGGATTATCGGAGCCAGAAAACTAGTCTCAAGTGTAATCTATCAGTGTGTCACATGCCGTAAACTTAGGGGTAGACCCGCTGAACAGAAAATGGCCAATCTTCCTGAGGACCGCCTTGTCATGGAGCCCCCATTCACTAGGGTAGGCTTGGATGTTTTTGGGCCATGGACTGTAGTCACTCGCAGGACAAGGGGTGGTAGTTCTGAAAATAAGCGTTGGGCAGTCTTATTCAGTTGCCTAAGCACCCGTGCAGTTCACATAGAGGTAATCGAGTCTATGTCAACCTCTAGCTTTATAAATGCATTACGACGGTTTTTTGCTGTCAGGGGCCCATCCAAAGTTTTTAGATCAGACCGTGGCACTAACTTTATTGGGGCTTGTAGAGAGTTGAAAATCAACACTCATGACGCTGAGTTCCAAGATTACCTAAGCACAGAAGGCTGCAGATGGACTTTTAACACACCTCATTCATCACATATGGGTGGCTCATGGGAAAGGATGATAGGCATTGCTCGCCGCATTCTTGACGCCTTGTTATTGCAGTCAGGTCCTACTCGTCTCTCACACGAAGTTCTTACTACACTAATGGCAGAGGTTATGGCAATTATTAACGCCCGCCCAATAGTTCCCATTACCACAGATCCAGACACACCGACTGTTTTGACACCATCCATGCTACTAACTCAAAAAGTAGGAGCAGCGCCCGCTCCTGAAGGTACATTCAACTTTAAGGACATGTACAAAAAGCAATGGCAACATGTTCAAAGTCTTGCAGATGCCTTTTGGAAACGCTGGAGGCAAGATTATTTGTCAATACTACAAGTAAGAAAGAAATGGACACAGGAAATGGACAATATCAAAGAAGGAGATGTCGTCTTAGTAAAGGATGATCTAGTGAAGCGCAATGAATGGCCCATTGGAATCATTACTAAGTGCATTCCCAGTGAAGACAAGAAGATCAGGAAAGTTAAAGTGAGAGTCGTAAAGCAAAGCACTCCACATGTGTACATGCGACCGGTAACTCAAGTTATTCTTCTGCTTCCCTTGAACAATGAAAGAACTGTTTAATCTTACAAAGTTTTTAAGCTTACAGTATAGTGGTATACAAGTATTTATACCAGGCGGGGAGTGTTATGGTTAATAAGTTACATATTGCAAGTTGGGTTTGTGTCATTTTATAGTGCCCTCTAGTGGCGCGCGCTATGTTTGCAATGTGACAGTTGAGAACGTTACACTGTCCTGTATGGCAGAAGAGCAGCCCTCCCAAGTGTTGTTTGGCCCACTTAAGGCTGTAAGTTTTGGTTTTGAAGATTGTCATATCTATATGTTATTATTCTGTATGTACTGAGATCAACCGTAATTCGTTTCCTGTGAGAAATATGAGTTTTGCGTGTCACTGTACTTTTCTTATGCTAATAGAGCTGTTGAGTAATACTGTAATATTTTATGGTCTTTCCAACTCTGTAATGTTATTAGACAGTAACTACTGTTAGTTCAGACAAAGAAGACACTGTAATTCACTGATTCTAATTGCTGTATTTTTGTGTGTTACAGTTTTACAGTAAATGAGTAAAACAAACTCATATGTCTGTCTTAGCTAAATAGCTCACAACATTTAGTGAGGACAGAACAATATACATTCAGGAGGATTTGTCTTCAAACGTCAAAAGTCTCAAACGTTTCTTTACCACATGTTCAAAAGACTAACTCATCAAATGAATATAGTATAATCTTGTTAATCGGCATGAATACATTAGAATCCATTCATTAGAAATCACATATAAACCTTTTAGATTAATGTTATCAACCTGAAAAAACAGCTGTTAGCTAGTGGCAGTTGAGTTAGTCACATATCTTTCCAATTGTAGGCATTGTTATTTTGATTTTCCAAAGTAATGATCATATTTTTCTACTTCCTTGATTACAAATGGAGCAGGTGTTGAAATCCCAAAACCCAACTGATAAAAAACATTTGCTTCTGTCCAGATAGTGACAGTCGCTTGGTTGGCAGCAGGTGCCCACTTACCACATGGCGGTTACCATGGGGGTTACCAAGAGGGTTACCAAGAGGGTTACCATGGGGGTTACCATGGGGGTTACCATGGTCGTTACCATGGCCGTTACCATGGCGGTTCAATCCCTCCTCATCATGCATGCTGTCACTGAGCAAAGCTTGGGGGATGTCACAATGTCTGCTAGTTTTATAGACAAGTATTTTGGCGATTATTATTCATGATTACTGCTTAATAATAATAACAATGTGTATTTTCCTAAATTATGAAACCAGCTTCAAATCAAACTATACAAATGATCAACTGAATATGTAAAAGACAAATATGTTGCATTCATGTTCTAGAGTTGTTTTCAGGTGGAGGGCAGGTCTCTATAGGAAAGAAACTTGTTTTAAATAAATGCTTTCCCAGATCATTAGTAAGTAGTAAGTAAGTAATGTTTATTTATATAGCGCTTTTCACAGACCAGAGTCAAAGCGGTTTACAGTTGTGGGCATTTGTCTCTCACTCCACACAGAGATGGGGGCGGGGCCAGTACAGGAGCTACATGTCAGACCTATTGTGCATGTCTTTTGTGGTAGGGGAAAATGGAGTACCCGGAGGAAACCTACGCAGACACGGGGAGAACATGCAAACTCCACTCAGAAAGGCCCTGTTCCGACCGGGATTTGAACCCAGGACCTTCTTGCATTATTTGATAGTGATTTGATTCACAAACCCATCATAATATTCGTTTGTCTGAGCCCTTTCCACTGGTCCACATCCTGCATAATTGGTGAAACTTTGATAGATTCCGTTTCGTGTGCATTGGCCCAGGAATTACAGAGTATACAGTGATATAAAATGACATATGTAGCTCATTCTTTTATGTTTGAACTAAATGGATTCATACAGGATCCTTCTCTAAAACATGTCTCACTCCAAGACTCAATCCATTGTCGATGGACTCGTTTGTGAGGATTAAATATTAGCGACCTTCACCCTTTTTGAGATCCAGCCAGGACCGGTCTAATCCAGTAAATTGATTTTGGCATGCAGTCAGTGTGTGCTGTAAGCCTCACACACCCGTCTGCTCTCCGGGACGGTAGATCACCACTTGTGACCGATCATTACTAATTGGATTCAGCACAAATCTATTTTGTTAAATGCACCTCATAAAAATGTTTAGGGCAACAGGAACATAAAGTACAATCTTCTGCAGTCATCCATGCTTTATAGATTTGGCTGTTCGATGCTTTAATCCATTCGATTCAATTATCTACAAGTAATTAACACACACTGTATCGTATGGCTCTGGGCCTGTGCTCCTCTGGGCCCCGGGAAGATGGACTGATGCTGCCACTTAACCCCAATCTGCTGCAGTAGACTGACCGAGCCCAATTTACACACGGAAATATACAGCCAGATACAGTCCGAATGTATTTATACCCTCAGAACTTTTATGACCACAGACAAAGAGTTGTTATTAGCTCCACAAAGGCCAGCAACAGGATTACTTTGTTTTAAATACAAATTGTAATTCAGTGTAATTCAGTGTAATTGCACATATTGAAGAGACTCGCACTCAATTATTACGCAACGTACACACTTCGACACTATGGACATTATGTGTTCCATTTACAAAACAATACAATTTATTCTTGTATAGCCCTAAATCACAACAGCATCATCTCAGAGACTTAACAAAACCATTGAATCATTAAATCACCGACACAGATCAGAGAATCAGCAGTAAAAAAATAAAATAAAGAATCTTTTAGTTTATGTATAATAGTTTTGTATTTGATTCGTATCGATTTACATTTTGGAAAGTACGAAACGCTTTAACCTCTCCATCTTTCTGAAAACGTTTTATATGATTCAGTTTTTGGCACAGCTTTTTCCAGTTTTATGGATTACATGACATTTATTTTTTTTAACTAAGAAACAATTTGACTTTCATTACTCAGCAATTGTTTTAAGACATTTCAAAATGTTGTCCTACAGCCTGACAATGTGACAACTTCCTTCTGTTTCCCCACTGTGGGACATATAAAGTCATATCTTATCTTATCTAATCTTAAATACGAAAATTAATCATCAAGGACTCTTCTTGCCACCCTGGTAAAGCCATGTTCCAGCTTCTTTTCTCGGGCAGAATATATCGGTCGCTGAGATGCAAGACAGCTCACTATGCTAACAGCTTCTTTACACGAGCTGTTAGGTGTCTGAACAGGGCACTTTAATTGTTGTTTCCACTCCTTGTATCGGTTTTTTTGTCGATCGGTGCCACAGTGTCAGCTGTTTTTATTTATGTTCAGTGTATGTGTATGTGTATTTTATATATATATATACTGTTTATTCTGTTGGTACACACAGAGTACTTTTTTTGCAAATGTATTCCAAAGTTGTTTTTATACTGCACATGGCAAATAAAATGAATCTGAATCTGAATCTAAAATCAAAATGTGGTAATGTCCATGATCGGCACTGTCAACAACTTCCATTGTTTTGCCGCCGGGCCACAGGAGATGAAAGTGCGACCGACCTCAAATGACAACTGAATGAATCGACTTAACAAAAGCAAGCACTTTCCAGAAAGAAGCCGACCGAACTGGCTTCGTCCTCGCAGTTTTGTTTGTGAAGATAAGAGGAGAATAATGTACTCTCTCCTCTACAGCGTGACTCGGCTAACCCACACTCTCCCATGTTTCCGCAGACCTGGACCTGTCTCTCAGTCCTACCGGGAGGGTGCTGAAGACAGTAGGGGACACCTTGTCTGTGAAGATGGAAAAGAGTGCCTCGGGTGAAGCTATCGTGTCATGGAGGAAGGTAATGGGTGCTGAGGTCGGGCCGTTGATCAAAGAGGGAAACCGCGCTGGGAGATAGACGGAGAGAGGAAATGATAAAGTGTGTAAGACCAGGGTGATTTGTCTAACTGCCTGTTTATTTTTCTCCTCCAGTCGGTAATCAAAGGCTGAAGAACGTCCGTCAGTGCTCTTATAGGCCCTGAATAGTGGCAATTTTACCGTAGGAGATGGTAGGGTCATTCCTTACTCCCTGCACTTAGTCTGCTCCATACGTCTGACAGAGTCCATCCTCAGCTTTAAAGGCTTCGAGCAGGGCCACGAAAATACAGGCTATCCTCTCAAAAAGGATGTGGGAAAGAAGCAAAACTCTCCTGTAGTTTGGGAAAGCTTTTAATGATATGTGTTTGTGTGTTAGCAAACTGATAACAAGTTGTATTCAATGTAGATAGATACAGACTTAATGTATCCCCCGTAGGAGAAATTCAAGTGTCCAGCAGCAAAGAACCTTCCTGCTTGTGACAGTACTGAGCCGGGGTTTATCTAGAAGAGGAACACACTCTGTCACTTAGTGTTTGCATCTGTTTTCTTTGTGGCAGCCAAAATGTGAGGCAGACGGCTCCCTGATTGGGCAGTGTACTAACCAGTTATGTTATGCTCATGTAACCTGGCCTAAACCTAATGGAATCCAGTTTACTCTAACTTTATTTCAGAAAAAAACAAATATGATGTGTACATGTTGACCTATTATCTGGGGAGATCTAAAATATTTAGATGTCATTAACATTTTACATTTTACTTACAGCCTTTTTATCTCAAAGCATACATAATTTATCCCAAACGGAGCACAATCTCTACTCCTTGTGGACAGCTTCACTGTATTTAATATTTTGTGAAAGTGCAGCTGGGTGTTTTTGCGTTTGGATTCCATGGAGATTCACTTTGCTCTATTTGACAGCGAGTCCACCTTAATCTATAGAATTACCATAGCAGTCAACAAGACTGCTGAGAAGAATTTTCACCGAGGATCGAACCAATCTTCCCACACCGAAGCCAAAATAAAGCAAGACGGCTGATTTATTGGACGACTTTTGCAAACTGCTAATGTTAAAATGAAAAGCTTGGTCATTAAAGGAGACACGTTATGACATGTGTTTAACCATGTTACAACATTGTTCCCTCATCATCAGACAGAGCAATTAAATGGCAGCGTCAGGCCCATTATCCCTCATCATCCATCCATCCATTTTCTTCCCCTTAATCCATTTCTGGGTCGGGGGGGGGGCAGAGATGCCACCCAGTACACAGAGCACCAGCCCCTCACTGATGCTCCTGCAGGTGCTGAGTCCACAGGAGCTGAGATCTTTCAGTGGGAGCTTCAGGCAAAGTGGGGTTAAGTGTCTTGCCTAAGGACACAACGACAGCAGTCATCAGTGGGAGTCGTGAAGTAGGTCTTACGGTGGGCTCGAACCCACGACCTTCAGGCTCAAAGGCCAACGCTCTACCAACTGAGCTACTGTCGCCCCGGGACACAGCCATGGATCTATAATAAAAACTGGATAGTGTATTACTATCTTACAGCTGTCCCACCCATGGCCACAGGGGGCGCTGTGGTACTGCAGACTAAAATCACGTGGGCTACCCAGAAAAAAGTCCCATAGAACTCAATGAAAACTAAACCAGCTCGACCTCAGCTGACAGAGAACCTGACAGAGAACCTACAGCTTTCATAGAGATCGGATTTTGTGGGGATTTTAGTGTCCCTTGTCATCCTGAACTTTTTTCTTCTTAAATGCTTCGGTTTTCTTTAAATTCACACTTTACTGCCACACACACGTATTTGCCGCAAAGCATCATGGGAGCTCGTCCACTGCGCAGAACCAGGAGGACCAGATGATGCCCAAATATAGCCGAGTTCTGCTCATCTCCCGGTCCCTGTGAAGTCCCATGAACTACTGAGCACAAGCCATTCATTTGAAAAGGGCGCCATCTTTGATCACCGGGGCTTGGTCACAGCCCCAAAGTTTTTGGATCAATCCATCCACGCTACTATCGGGAACTTCAGGCAAAAACATGTATATCCACCCTTCTGCTTGAACCTGTCTCAGTTCTGTAATAGTATGAAGCCATTGGACCAAAAAACAAAAGTGTTGCCCCCAAATAACTTTGGGCAATTTCTCAATTTAAATGACAAGGTCAAGTTTGGAAAAAAAAGATAGATAAAATTTCACATTCTAAAACATAACATGACAGAGTAAATAGTTTCATTATAATACGAATGATGCATAGTATTTCTTCTAATATCGGGTTGCATGTTCTCCCCGTGTCTGAGTAGGTTTTCTCCATGTACTCCGGTTTCAATTGCGACTCTCTGCATTGTGACTCTCACAACTGTGAAAGGCGCCGTGATTATGCTTCCGCAAATAAAAGCCGTCAAATTGACTTCTATGAGAGCTCTTGTGTTAGATTGACAAAAAAAAGGTTTTGTTTGCAATAAGGCTGAAGAATATGAGGAAGTATGAGGTATCAGATAATATTACAGCGTTTTGACCCGTAGAGATAGCACTTACGCATCCTGCAGCTGGAAGTAAGAACGCACAAATGACGGCTGTTAAAGAGAACGCACTGCTATAATTACTGTGACAGAGACGCGCAATTAAATGGCAGCGTCAGGCCCATTACCCCGGGGAAAGTACACACTGCCACTGTGCCCTCCTCTTCTTTTCAGGATGGGAAGAAAGTGAAGGAGCCCGCTTTCACCAAGCTGACGTACTCTGATGCTGGCGTGTACAAATGCGAGCTGACCATGGGAGGCATCACCAGGCACCAGAGCTTTGAGCTGGTGGTGGAGGGTATGAGAACTTCTTCACTTTGCCGTACAGTTCATGTGATTGTATACACACAACGAGCAAAATCCAATGAGACGGAAAGTCAAGTGCATTTGGGTCTGTTGAGAGTGGAAATGTGAACATGTAGTTTAAAATGCGTGCATGTATAACTTTATTTCTGTACAGGCACTATGTCACTTTTTACAGTACAGAAAGCAGGAAGCGACTACAACATTAAAGCTGCAGTACTTTCTTTTTTGACTAAATAGAACAAGGCTTATAGAATGAACAATTTGTGAACAGGTCAGATAATGGCAATTCTGTCTTTAATCTATTAGAAAATATTGTATCCTTTTCATACTTGAAAATTGTATCCTTTTCATACCGTTTTAATGTATAACGGTTGTTAAAATACTGTATAATAGGGGTGAAACATGCTAATCTATTAACTGTAGCTATTTGATGATTGAACTACTTACTAATTTCGAAATCGAATCATCGTATTTTGAACCGTACATAGACTCAAACATTCAAAGTAGTTTTATTATGACTATATAATTCTTTGAAATTCTCCATCCATCCATTTTCCTCCGCTTAATCCATTTCTGGGTCGGGGGGGGGGGGGGGGGGGGTGGCAGTCAGAGCTGCACCCAGTACACAAAGCACCAGCCCCTCACTGATCCTCCTGCAGGTGCTGAGTCCACAGGAGCTGAGATCTTTCAGTGGGGGCTTCAAGCAAAGTGGGGTTAAGTGTCTTGCCCAAGGACACACCAACAGCAGTTATGGGCTCAAACCCACGACCTTCAGGCCCTAAGGCCAGTGCTCTACCAACTGAGCCACTGTCGCCTATAATTCTTTGAAATTCTAAAAAAATAAATATAGAATGCTTGCAAAGTATTTTTAATCAAACAACACAATGCATGTCATTGTAAATGTCCCCATTGTGAGATCAATAACGTTTATCTTGTCTTATCTTTATGAAGATGTTATAAAGCCGAGACACAATAACACGACCTCAGTCCTTCACACAGAAAGTTGAGTTTGAAAGTTTGGAGAATGTGTGTGTGTTTATATAACAGAACTGCACAATGCCTGCAGTATATCCGTATGCATTGTTAAGGGCAGAGTATACACCACCCACGCTCACACCTGTCTCTCTACGCTCTCTACGCTGTCTGGGTCTGTGCGTGTGTGCGTGCGTGTGCGTGTGTGTGCGTGTGTGTGTGCGTGTGCTCGTAGGTAAGCCTGTGATCACTGGCCTGACCAAACAGCGCTCCATGGATGGAAACCACAAAGTCCTGACCTGCGAGGCAGAAGGAGTACCGGAGCCCGTCTTCCAGTGGAGCGTAAACGGATCCAATGTAAGCCCAAGTGCATACAGTTTATAGCTAAGACAAATGCATTTTCTTCAACCCAAGACAAGACCAAGAAACTTAGTCCATTCCCTGCCCATTCAGATGTCCAGGAGGCCTCTGCAGGTCCAGCCCCAGGCGCTTCATCCACATTCTCTTTAAATGCTACATCAGGCCTATTTAACGAGCTTACAATCATTCTATGTCACATTTTTGTCCTCATTCGGGTCAATCCATATTTGAAACTAGTATAGACATGTATAATATTGTGTTAAGTGTGGGGTGAGAGCTGATGAGGGTGGTTCTCTCTGTTTCACTTTCCCAAGTAGTTTCTTGAAAAGCCATGCAAATACTTTAAATTGACTGCCAATAACAAAACATACTATGTATGATTGTAGCTAGAGGAAAGTTTTTGACACGTTTTCAATACAGAGATATTGGTTTTTTGCATTTGAACTCATCATCAATTACTTCTAATGACCACTCCCCTCGGGCAGGAGACCACGGTCCATCAGGACCAGAACCTCCCGCCATAGGAACAGTTCCTTTATAAAGTCAGCTTACTGCTTACTGCCCCTTTAAAGTCACTTTACTGCCCTTTAGAAGTCACCTTACTGCCCTTTATAAAGTCAGCTTACTGCCCTTTATAAAGTCACTTTACTGCTGTCACTTTATTGCTCTGCTTACTGCATATTATGTGCACCATGTGCACTTGTATATTGTACATAGTAATTGTAATAGTAATAATTCCAATTTAAATGTTATACCTTAGAAGTGTTGCTGATTTTATTTTTCTCTATTCTTTACTTCTCTTTTTGACTGTTGCACTGAGCCAAAGCAATTTCCTAGTCTATGACTTCCTGTTACTTACATGGAAATAGAAATGATTCTGATTCTGATGTCGACTGGGACCAGAGTGCACAGACCAGTTTGGGAGCCACACTGTTTTGTTTTTTTCCAGATGGAGACTACGCAAAATGATTCCCCCACTGCTCCTCTCAATCCGTTAGTTTACGGCGACATCCTCAAAGAACATGTGTCAAAAGCTCGGCCACTGCCGCTGTTTGCAAGAGCAAGGCCCAACATCTGTGATTAAAGTCTTCTTTGAGGATTCTGTCAGAGTTCACTTTACTACAGCAATTACAACAAAGGCTCCTCTCTTTTCGCTTCTCCGCTCTGACTGTTTACACACCCCTGCGTATCGCGCACACACAAAGACACACATTCGATCCAATATCCTTTAGATCAGGGGTGCTCACACTTTTTCAGCATGCGAGCTACTTATAAAAGGATCAAGTCAAAATGATCTACCTACTACAAAAATGCAAATCATATATTTATTTCAAAAAATATTCTGTATACCTACAATGTATGTTTATGTACATGCAAAACTGCATGAGCCAATATAGCACAACACAACACAATTACCTATGTACATTTTTTGTCATTACCCGAGTTTACTCTGATGACTTGCACTGAATTGAATCGGCCAGGGAGGCATAGTCCGGAAAATTGGTGGTAACTCGCTGACAAGTTTGTCGTGGTTTAGCTTTCCTGCACTGAGCGCGGTTGTTTGCGCATGTGCAGTCAACTAGTGTCAGTAAAACATTACTGAGTAAAACACAGATGTCATTTGACTGTGGTGCCATGTCCATGTGCCATGCCTGTTTTTTTTAAATCCAAATATTTCCCCTCCTCAGTTTATAAAATAATTTGCATCCACACATCTGCGTTATCAATCACATTCGTAACATTCCAAACATGTGCGTCTCTTACGTCCTGTCCTGCGTTGGGGAAAAACACAGAAGTGGGCGGAGCTTTGATGCAGACGCCGGTAACGGCACTTTTACAGTCATAGAAGACACTCAGAGTAAAGACGTATGTTTACAAGCACTGACCCCGTCCTCAGCCCTGGTTTAGCCCTGGTTTACCCTGGTTTAGTCCTGGTTTAGTCCTGGTTTGGTTGTTTTCGAGTGTGAGTCCGATCACTTTGCTGCTCTCTGATGTGGAGCGAGGATGTTTGCTGCTGCGAGCATCTCACAGCGAACAGTTTTTAAGGTAGTATGATCCATGCTTGAGTGATCAGAGGAATTTAAGGGGGTACTGTGGCGTGCGAGAACGCAAAACTCCGGTTATCTCTGTCTACACACAAATGCATTAACGGAGTTTTCAAAAATCCCCACTTTGCCCGGAGTTTTTTGTATATATTTGTTTAGAATGTGTAATTTTTTCATTTATTTAATGCGATCTACCAATACTACCTTTGCGATCGACTGGTAGATCGCGATCGACGTATTGAGCACCCCTGCTTTAGATAAACTCCAAGTCGCCTCCGAGCTTTACTGTTCTTCACTGCATTTGTTTTGTTCTCTGCGTCGTGAACTTTTACACGCCGGGATCAAACGGCGCACCAGATGAAAGCGCGGATGTTAAAAGAGCGCACGCTAATATTTGTCCAGCGGTACAGAGGCCACTCGGGGCGGCGGTCTGCCCTGGGGGAAAGAACTATATGACTGTAAGAAGTTCAGAGCATCTTCATTAAAAGAAGTGACTGATGTCCTCACTCGCCTCATCTTCTATTTATTATTTAATGATAACGTTCTGAGCGAGATTGCCATGTTTACGACTATTCCAAAACGCAATCTTGTCTTCCACTCATTCCATAAAAAGCTATATTTTGGACTTGTTTTTTATTTTTTTATTCAAATTGTGTTTGTATTCTGAACGTGCCATTTCTTTCCCAAGAGTTTATCCTAATTAGAAAATGTGAAGCATAAAAGTTAATTGTTTTCTTTCTCGGCGTAAAGTGTTTTTATTGCCTTCAGACAGTGGAGATATGTTTTTGAAATTGTACACATACTGTGCAGTCAGAGCTTGTGCTTCATAGTGAGAAAGATCCTGCCTCTGATTCCACCTCCAGGTCTTTCTGTGTGAGGAGTTTGCATGTTCTCCCTGTGTCTGCATAGCTTTTCTTTGGGTGCTCTAGTTTTCCCTACTACTACAAAATGTAATGTACACAGGGCATCCCCAAAACACCCTCCCCTAGACATTCTGCGGTCTTAGTGGGACTTTCGTGGATATATGAAGATCAATAACTATATCGCCAAAGCATAATTATGAAGAATGTGCAGGATTGGTCTTAAAGAAAAGCGACTTGAATGAGACCATTTCAGAATCCAGTACATTTTGTCCAGACTCTAGGTGTGAACTGGAGACCTTTCAGAGGTTCAAAGACAAGATGATCAGAGCTTTAGTGGACCCTCTGATCACAAAGTTCTGTGCTGACGTCACATAACGGGAAGTAAAGCCAGAGAAGTCTCCACTCGTAAAACTTGTGAAAAACTGGTTTTGTTTGTAATAGATCAAATAAATGGATCATCATTGATCATTTGTAGTTTTAAATTTGTTGGGCTTTTTTCAAATGAGAAACAAAGCTCACCTACGTTTGTCAGATTTGCAAATTGTATAAAACTATTCTTTTTATCTTTGTAGTAAGTTCATTCCTATAATAGTAATGAACTTACAGCGCCTGGCCAAGAGCAATTTTGAGATTGAGATTGTATTTGCGTGTTTAGAGCAAGTTCACATTTTGGCTCGTCAACCCTCACCTTTTTCGCCGCTTCTTCTCGATGGCAACATTTCCAGTTATTTTCTGTGCTTCAGCTGTTCTACGCTGTCCCAAGTTTTCATCACACTTTCCAGCAGTGGCGGCTGGTGGAATTTTCTACTGGGGGGGCTATGAATATGATGACTAGATATATACCAGCAGTAAGTAAGTTTACACTGACTGTTGTGACTGAAGCCTCACACGAGAATGAAATATTTATCTTCCCAAACATAGCTAATTTGAGGGCATTTTGCATGTGGATACCAGTCTGCTCATGCTTCTTTGCCTTTTCTAAAAAGTGCTTCAGATCAGTCATACCTGTCTTGATCCATGCTGGGTCAGATCCTGATGTTTGAAACAAGAGGCATGGAAAGCAAAATAAAGCATTAGCCTCGCTACATGCTGCTAGCCAAGATTTGGCGCTGAACCAGGTCCTGGAAAAAGTACGAGTGTACCGTCTCCCCCTGTCGCTGGACTGCTGACTAATGGTAATATTTGGCTGATCAGGTCCAAGCTCTTTAACCTCAACCTTCTCCTGGTATGATCTTCTCTCAAACGGTATTGTTTTGAGTGATCTAACTGAATTATTCTTTTTCTCGTTCTCCATTTTGCGTCTCTTTACGTTCGTCTCAAACTCCCACAGCTTGACCTGTCAATCACTGTAAACGGACGTCACAGACAGTGACAGTACAGGTCGCGGGCGATCCCGCCCCCTCAGGGCGCACTTCTCCTGCGCCCCCAAATCGTCTTATCTCTTGCATTGAAGAGGAGATACTGCGCATGTACAACTTTTAACGAGAGTCCATAGACGGCTCAGGGCGCAATCTTTTGCGCCCTGAGGCGGAAATACGTCCTCAGTCCGACACAGACAACGCTGATGAGCTTAATCAATCCAACTCAGCATAAACTATAAAGTATTTCTTCCACATCTGAAATAAAACACACATAAATTTCGAAATATTTTAATGTTATTATTTGTTTTAACGTTTTATTCAAGGTAACATGGCAAGTTGTGAGTGGTGGGGCGGCGCCCTAGCGCCCTCTATTGGCCGGCCGCCACTGCTTTCCAGCAAAGTCAATACCGCGGCCGTTTGCGATTTCTTATACAAGTGTGCTGTCTCTTATTTATTATTTCGTTTCCCAACAGGAGAGGAGCGCCTTTTCCAACGGCAAGGCCACCCATAAAATCACCGTAATACCCAAGGTGAACTTAACCGTCACATGCACCGTCAGCAACAAACTCGGCGAGGACGCCATGACTATCAACGTCTCGTCCGGTAAGTGCAACTCTTACTCTGCAGAAGAAAAGTTCACGAAGAGCACGTTTACAAAGTGCTAAGTGGGGGTGGACCTCTCTTTCACATTATCTCAATACGCTGATTTAAAGATGTGACTGAGGCCAAACAAAAACATTTATTTGAAAACTATTTTGAGACATTCTGTACCCCAGCTTTAATTGACTGGTGCTGTTGTTGAGCCTGCGTGAAAATTACATTTACCCAACATGTGCCTTTAGTGTATAGCAATTATCAATCACAACATTTGAGTGCTGCGGCAAAGTTACAAGATGTCTTTGAAAGAATCCAGACTGGTTTGGAAACACAGAATAGAGTCGGGTTATTTAACATACTTCATATAACCTAATACTTTGTGAACGTACTCAATGTTGGGCTTTTCTTGAGGCTTTTCAGTCACGTTGCATTATGCCAGTGAATGTATCGAGCTGGCTGCCACTAATTAAGAAGCATTAGCTGAAACCAGTGCGAGAGAGTCAAATGAATCTAAATGTGGCGATGGACGCAGCATTCTCGAAACATTGCTTTTGACAGTCATTACAACATCACCCTAATCTGATTTACTGTTGGAAAGTTTTTTAAAGGGGCAGGATGTTGAGTACTTTAGAGTATTTTAGATTTCAGTTTAGATTTGTAGTAGCATCTGATGTCGCCCATAGTGTTTGCCCTAATGCGGTAGAGGTTGATTAGAGCTAGCCAACCAACTGGCTTCTTGAGAAATTTGGTCGGAAATGTTGCCAGAGAGAGTGGGAGCAAAAGTTAATCCCATTGTACTTCATTGAGTTAGCGGGGTAGCAATGTCCAACTATATACAGTCTATGGTCGCAGTATATGTTTCCGTGATACATGTCAGCAACTTATCAAGATGTGGACATTTTCTTCTGTCCTGGTGGGTTTTCTCTCCCAGCGCAAGTTTTTTTCAACTCCGAAAACCTAATTGTGTCGTTTGGCAGCTTTGAGACAAAAGATTATTATTATTTTAACGCAGTGTACTTTTAACATCCCAGCACCACAACCTCGACAATTTCAATTCACCCGTTTTGTGCTGTTTGGGCTCCGCAGGGATCCAACATGGCTGCCGGTGCCTGCATTGTCTGGTTGGCAGAATGAAATCACAGTTGGTGTTGGTTTCTCTTGCCAGCAGCGATCCACGAGCAGTTTTTTGTGTATCGAAGGCTCATTTTAATTATGACTACTCAGTTTTAACAATGCCATTCCACAGAATAAGAGTGACATTAAACGGTGCGCTGGAACTGGAGCAAACACCAACGCAAAGCTGCTCTGTGTTCAGGGCATTTCTTTTATCTTTTATGATCAGCCCACCACATAGATAAGGAACTTTAACGATTAGCTTTGCTCCCTGCTCTTAAAACTGGGTCATTTAGCTCGATTCAAATCAGTGTGCATGAAAAAGTTACCATAGAACCAGCAATGACACATAGAGCTATGTATAAATGTACGTAAAAAAAAACTTTCACGTTAAACTTAGTAAACATGAACAATGCATAATTCTGCTCATCTTCCGTTGCAACATAAACAGTATTGTAATTACTGTGTTATTTCAACCTTTTGATACATCCCACAGGGGCTAATGTCATTGCCAAGGTTTGTCTGTCTGTCTCTTTGAGTTAGTTTGCACTCAAACTGCACATTATGTTTAAGGAGTGGAACTGCGCCTCTTGGTGGAGGTCTGCGCTCTACGAGTGCTTTTCAAGTTTAATTCAAGTGACAGTTCCCCAACAAGCACACACTTTCTGGTATCTGGAAATGGTTGTTATTAGGGCTGGGGTACCAAACTTTAGAAACTCCACAATGTTAACTATGAAGGAAAATGTATAGTTGCTCTAATGCCACTTTTCCATAGTCACGGTATGGCCGGGCACGGTAGGGTACAGCACTGCACAGCGCGGCACGGTACGGCACGGTATGGCCCGGCACGCCACGGTACGAGGCCAGACCACGTCATTTACCCGCAACACGTAACCAGTAACATATAGGTCTGATGTGTCACTTTTTTTTCATTTGAAATGAAATGGAATGTTTTTATTTTGGGTTCGATACATAACTTAGATTTACAATATACATTTATTTTAGAAAACTAAGTATCAACTCGAAAATGACGTAAGAAGAAGTAAAAAATAAAAAAACATGATACCATATTTTTCGCCCTTGTGTGACTTTTGGGGCTTTCTGTGCGATTCCATTTCTCTGGAGTGAAGAGGTTGTATTGAAGCAGAGCTGCCGGTTTTAAAGATGGCGGTTGTTTTTACCAAAGGGTCTGACGTCGCTTCCAGTGACGACACTCGTTGACCAATCAGTGTAAGGCAGTCGGCCGACGTCACGTCATGGTGTAGCTTTGGCTCACATGGAACCACTGTTGAGTAGGGTTTAATATTTTTCCCGAAAATGAGACGTATCATATCCCGGGAAAAGACGACGCCTTTCCCGGGAAATCCCGGGAAATAACTGTTGTTTGTAGTTGTTGTTTTTAGCCCAAGTAATGTATGATATCACTCAAATATATAATCCAACAAAAGCTGCCATCTCCACTAGTGTTTCACCAAGTGACTTGCTAGCTTTGCTAAAGTAGCCATAGCGTTTTCAGACGTTTTGTTGATGGGCTTTCTTCAGGAATTTCACTATTATGAGATTCTAAATGTCTGCGCAATCCACTTGTCGAAAAGTGACGTGCGGTGTGGTTTGGAGGCACTTACTTCAGCCCAATCAGATGAACATATATCATATAAATCAACAGAACCTACAGAGCGGCTTATTCACAATTAGTTTGGCTACAGCAGAATGTTTTCCATGGCCCGCATTGTTTGCTCAAACAAAACGCAAAAGTTCGTAAAAGGCACATTTCCAATTGTGTTATGGGTCTTACCTTAGTTATTAATGAACAGCACAGACCACTTCAGTTCAGACCAGTTTCATGTTTAAGTCCATATAATAGTTTGAGCGCAGATATGTAATCCCCCATTTGGAAATAAGCCCAAAGAGTTTTAAAGCGTAAAACAAAACGGGTGCCACCTCCATAAACTCCTCCGTGTGTTCGCTGCAGCCGACTCTCGGGCGCATCCAATTTCTAATATCAACCTTCTTACCCTTCTCCTCTCTTCCTTATCATTCCTGTCGTCATTGTAAGCAGAACATTACCCTAAATGCATTTTATATGATTTTAAAATGTGTTATATGTATGTTAGCCAAACCTGTTGCTGCCCTTAGCAGATAGAAAAAAAGAAAGGAGCTTTCTGATAGAATTGGACGTAGCCAAATTCTGGGCTCACATGTGCTCCGTACCCTGAGCCTGGCCTCATTACAAGTCGTGGTTTAGCGCGATTAAGACCCATATTTGTTGTCAAAAACACAATTTAGGAGCCATCCTCTCAGCTGTAGACATGTGGATTGTAAATGAAATATGTTTGAACTTTGAACAACAATAAACGTGCTTTATAATAGGAGCGCACTGTATTTTTTTTTTTACTTTCATTTCCCGTTTCCCGTCATAACATTTCCCGGGAATCGGGAAATAGTTTTCATCAGATTTCCCGGGAATCCCGTATCCCGGGATTAAACCCTACTGTTGAGGTGGTATAAAAAAGTACCCTGATCCCAAGCCCAACCCTAGTGGAAATTCAACATAACCGTGCCGTGGCGTGCCGTGCCGAACCCTTACTGTGGAAAGCAGCATAAAACAATTCTCTAATTTTCATTTGTATGTTTATTTTTTATTTTTGTCACATCATAAGAATAGCTTGTTCGGACAAAAACATGATAAAGAGAGGACCACCCCCACTCAGTGAATCCGTTCTCTGCCCAAAGAGTCAAATAGTGACTTACAGGGCCAAATATAATGTATTTTCTACTACCATGAAGACAGCCTGTTGTGGTCTGGTTTGTCCACAACATTTTAGAAAACTTTACAAGAAAAACTACAGGCAATTTTTTGGATAAAAGCAAAGAACCTCAGCTTGAAACTAAAGTCTATACCATGATACTATAACTGAGCAGTACTACAAACCAGTCCTTCTACTATGACAACTATTACTACTAATACTAATACTCCATCTACTACTACTTCTAATAGTACTTTTACTACTCCTACTACTACTAATTCAACATACCATCATAAGAACCGGACTATTTTAACCCCTGTGCACTCTTAAAGCTGCTGATCGAGTTTAATGGCTCTAAATACTTCCTCAAATACAGAATATTTTTGAGAGAAACGTAAAGCTTCTCATTCACCGTCATTCATCCAGTTTTGAGCCACACAAATCAATCAAACCATCATCATCCTCATTCACGCATCTCCCAAAAGCACACAACCATCAATTTCTCGGACCGGTCTGGGCTCCTGTCTCACAAAATCCAATGCAGATGTTGTAAGGAGCACACTGGCTATTTGCTTTTGGCCGTAACGAGCTCAGATTACAGGCCCTGGGTAATTACTGCGCACTGCAGTGGAGTTACTAAGAGTCCAAATGTATGCCGCTGTATTTTGTCAATGTAAAAAGCCGGCAATGGATTTCATTTAGAAGAAAAATAAGCCACCGGGGAGCAGGCGCCAGGCAGAATCGACGTCTGTATTCACCGTGGAGGAAGTGACTTGTTTGTGTTTTTTTTATTCAAATACAGTCAGTGTGAGGCAAAAGTTATGCATGAGGAAACGTTATTTCTGTAAAATGGAAAAAATATAGTTATACAGATCTTAACCATTTAGGTGTTTCAAAGCACTGCGTGTTATTTGCACGTTCAAGTCAATCATGCGTTGCCAGATTCTTACTGCCTGCAACTCACACTGATTACAGGTGCAAACCAACTGCTGAGGTTTAGCTAGGAATAGAAAAAAGTCATGTAAATATTTCAAGTTGTCAACTAATGTCATATTCAGTATTTCTGACATTTGCAGTTATGCCACAGTGGAAAGTGCAGAAGTCGCTCCAGCTGCACTGACGATTGAGAATGAGGGTAGACTTGTCTTTTTAATGCACTACACAGAACAGGTTTAAGATGAAGAGATCCTTTATTTGTCCCACAGTGGGGAAATGTCAGTGTTGCATCACAAGTTACAGAACAGTAGGAAAGAGGAGCACACGGCACACGTTACCTGAACAGTAGCTGTCCTAATTAAAATAAAACAAAATCTCTAACTCTAGCGTCTATAATAAGTATAGTTTCTGACACAAGGGGGCGCTGCAGCTCTCAATGCACCACACGTTATAAAAACAATAAAGATTACATTTATTATTGCAATGAACTATGGAACATAAATGGATAAGTATTGCTGTTTGTTTGCATTAACAAGATAAAAATGATGATGGTAAAAATCAGGAATGTCAGGTGAAAATGTAAATATTTTTGCCACCGCTTAATTAATTATTGATAATGGGGAAGGCACTTATTAGCTTTCTTGCTTCTTTTGAAGCTTTTGACCTTTTTTCAATTCTTATTTGAATTATATGTGCATGTTAAAAATATATATACTGCTCAAATAAAAATACAACTACTACTACTACTACTACTACTACTACTACTCTGGTGTGTTTTTAATCAAACAACCCAATGTCTAACAAGTCATACTCACAGCTTTCAGATCTAAACAACTCATAGAGGAATCAAAAGAACAATGTTATTAAACTTGTCACAGTAATCACAATTATTACAGCCCTAGTTCAAATCAATGTGTGGTGCTCCATCCATCCATTTTCTTCCCCTTAATCCATTTCTGGGTCGGGGGGGGTGGCAGTCAGAGCACCAGCCCCTCACTGATCCTCCTGCAGGTGCTGAGTCCACAGGAGCTGAGATCTTTCAGCGGGGGCTTCGGGCAAAGTGAGGTACCATAAATCCAAGCAAATCTGAAACATAATGAAAGTCAAACGGCTCTTTTAAAATGCAGTTATTGTGTAAAGGACGGTAACTGAGTAAATCACAATCACCAGATGACTTTACTTCTGCGTTCCCTCTTGTGAATGCATCAACAATAATTTAATAATTATGTTTACAAGTCATTCTTTCAGACTATCATCAAAAGCCAGTCATTGTATAAAACCACTGAGAAATGTGTTTACAAGCCACAGCAGCACCACACGCAAAGACGTCCATGAGACAGACGCCACAATTAAATAGATTATTTAGACCAGCGTGCCCAATACGGATATTAAATAAAAGAGGAAATAAGCCTCGCTAATGAACGGCTGGGACTGTCAAAGGCTAATGCTGAATGCTGCTCTGTTTTATTGGCCATCACATCTTCCGCCGTGTGTGTGTGTGTATGTGTCTGTGTGTGTGTGTGCGCCATACTCACACTCTCCTTTGTCCGTCCTGCTTTCTCACTATCTGCTCGGGCTGCTGGATGAGTTTCATGTTGTTGGGGAGTTAAAAAACCTGCCTTTGCTTCTTCTTCCTCCTCCTCCTTCCCCTCTTCTACGATCTGAAAGCATATAGATTGTGTCCTCGCCAGAGCCAAGACTCGAGGAACAATGAGGAGATGTAACCTTGATCTTACTTGGCGTCGTTTGCCTGGTCCGCTTTTGTTTTCATTTGTTATGATTTTTAATTTATTTTTGTTTGGTTTCAGTTTTTAATGAAGATCCAGAGAAAAAAGGTAAGATGTTTTGGTTTTGTTTGGCCCTTTTCTTTGACTTTGACTTGATGATAGATGATGATGGAGGAGTTTCTGGGTAAACATCCAGCGGCCTGATACACTGCTGTCTGTCTGTACGTGCGTCTCCATCTTCATTAACCTCTCATGCTCATAAAGTCTGAGGCAGATGAGGAAGATTATCAGCCGTGTGCTGAGATTATGGAGAGATGAACACACTGTTTGTTTGAGGGAAAAACACAAACCTGTCCACGTGGAACACATTCACAATAGTTGCCTCCGGGCTGGGATCAAAACTATGGACTATTTACATACTGGGATTAATTATGATTAGGATTATATATCAAAACTGTAGCTGTGCGGTGTAATTCTTCGACAAATGCAATGTTTTTCACTTTACATGGAAATTACTGAAAATATGTTCGTTCTTTTTTTTGTCAATGGAAGTAACTTTCATCTTGTTGCCCGACAGAAGCATAGTTTTCTCATTCCAAATGACACTTTTAACTGACAAAATGTGTTGCACAACTAAGATTTTTTTGAGAACAGATAAAAACTATTATTTCAAGCATGTATGTGTGTGTATATACTGTATGTATATATGTTTTAATGTTTGCAGTGAATTTTTTGTGTAGACAAGAAGCAATTTGTTGCTGGTTAGCTTATATGTGGACTTTCTTAAATGGACTTCTCTTGAATTTTTTTACCCAGAAAGAAAAAAATTGTTCAAAATAATCAATTTTCTCATATTTTGCTGAGATTGTCCAGCCCTAGATTGGTCAAACTTCATCATTTTTATGTCACAAAATCACAGCAGCAGTTGTCTCAAAATGCATTACAAGTTTATCAATTTTCCAACAGCATAAGAATAATATGAAATGTGAAATTAATCACTACCGTTTGGAAATTATCAAAATGTCTTTCAAAAAATGGTTCTTTCCAATAAAGTTGTATTTGCACTTTCCCAAAATCCTGAAATACAAGTACTACCTACTGTGACGTATTACACATACACACCCCGACATGTGTGTGAAAGGGTACATCTTGTTTACATGTGGTTTAGATGATGACACGTGTGAACCACAGCACCCACAGCAGCACCCACAGCAGCACCCACAGCAGCACCCACAGCCATATGGACCCGCCCCGGCCCATCTGCTGTTACATGTGGGGCCCTGCGCATAGACACACATCACCTGCCATCATTAAATCCCTGTTCCAGACAAGCAGTCTCAGCGGCCTGCCTCAAACAAGCAGAGTCTCAGCGGCCTGCCTCAAACAAGCAGAGTCTCAGCGGCCTGCCTCAAACAAGCAGAGTCTCAGCGGCCTGCCTCAAACAAGCAGAGTCTCAGCGGCCTGCCTCAAACAAGCAGAGTCTCAGCGGCCTGCCTCAAACAAGCAGAGTCTCAGCGGCCTGCCTCAAACAAGCAGAGTCTCAGCGGCCTGCCTCAGTCACAACATGTCAAAGCGGCACATCCTCACCGTCACCGGCCACCTGACTGATACATGTGTAGATGTGACGGAGCCCCTCACCGTCACCGGCCACCTGACTGATACATGTGTAGATGTGACGGAGCACCTCACCGTCACCGGCCTCCTGACTGATACATGTGTAGATGTGACGGAGCACCTCACCGTCACCGGCCTCCTGACTGATACATGTGTAGATGTGACGGAGCACCTCACCGTCACCGGCCACCTGACTGATACATGTGTAGATGTGACGGAGCACCTCACCGTCACCGGCCACCTGACTGATACATGTGTAGATGTGACGGAGCACCTCACCGTCACCGGCCACCTGACTGATACGTGTGTAGATGTGACGGAGCACCTCCTGCTGTGCTGTTGATCCTCTCAGAATGTACACTCACAACTCCGCTGTCTCTACATTAACCAGAACAAAGAGAGCACAAACAGAGACTCGGGCAATAAAGTTTTGCAGAGATTTAGCCATTTGTCAAAGGGTGCGATTGAGTCGAACTGTAAAACTGTGGACCTCTCGCTATAAAATCACACACAGGATTTTCTATAGTATCTCTAATATCCAGGAGCTGATGTTTCACTTCTCACGTAGAGTCTCTCACAGTATAAATACATTATTTTTTGGCCGTTTAAAAATGCAATGAAATTTACTTTTATATGTCATGCTTTAGAATGTGGAATAACAAGTAGAATATATATGGTGAATGTTAATTAATTTCATTTTTACGTATTGTGCAGTTACTGGATGCAGCACACAGCCATACGATTGTAAAGAAAACACTTCCAGAACAAAATCATGAGCAACACTTTATATTTAAAAGACAAAAATCGGTTCTGAGTTTTGTTAGTTTTGTCATTTGGAGTTTTTAGACAGGAGCGACAGGGTTACATGTTTTATGCAAGAAGAATGTTCGCATGAGTGGATCTACAGATCTACAGACTACAGGTCTGTTTCAAAGATGTTGGCATATTGGCACAACCTTAAACAAAACTTATCAAATGCTCAGGCTTTTAAAACATCCCCCACTTTAAGATAACCGAGGGAGCACTGAAAGCTTCACTGGGTTGATCAGGTGGGCACCCTCCCTCACTGGTGTTTCGTTGATAGGCCTCTGCTTTCAACCCTTCTGATCCACTGTCATTACTGTGGGGCCCAAATTTTACATTTCCAACAGCGCTGCTCTGCGTCCGCGGCAAGCTCCGTGTACTTCAGGCGCTTGCGTTCGTAGGCCTCCCCCACAGCATCCTCCCAGGTCACATACTGATATGACTGAGCAGAGTGTTGAGGACCAAAGCACGAGGTCTGGCTGAGGTTTGTTGTTGCCATTTGAGATGAAAACTGAGCCTATGACTCAGATCTGCCACCGAGTTCCAATATCATGCTCCGATTGGACAGCCATGAGCTCCCAATGGTTCAGAAAAACAAAATGTGTTATTTCATATCTGATTAGGTGCCCTACTTTTAATACTGCAGAAGAATAAGTAAATCACTTTATCGTAACTATATTTGGTCTTGACAGAAAATTATCTGAGCTTTTTCTCACTTCACTGAAGTTTCATTGGCAAAAAATATGCTCAAAACTACTTAAATACTGCATAACATCTATTTGCATTTTATAACCAATGTAATTTTTGATCTCCTTTATGGGTATGGTAAAATGAATAACCTTTTGTAGGATCATTAAATGTTTCAGTATCTTTTCACACAAAATTCTTAGTAATACCTGAGTTGTGCAACACATTCTGAAAGCTATTAGAAATGTATAATTAATTTAAATAAAGTTATGAGATGGTCACATTTGGAAGAATATAAAGCCTCTGCACACAGATTCAGAAGAAACTCAAATTGAGACATTTTCACAAATTCCGGTATATTTTTGTCTTGCCATTTTTTTTAAATCGTGCAGCGCTTACCTATAGTGGAGTGCCAAACTGAGACCGATGCCACAAACGGATTGCCTTGGTTCTGTCAGTGTGACCCAAGGCAGCTGTGGCTACAGTAGTAGTCTATTATCACAGTGTATGAATAATGTTGGGCTGTAATGTGACCCACGAGACCATTGTTAGTGGCTCCTGAACCGATTTTTATGATTCATTTGCAATATTTATGGTAATATGTTTTTATGGCTGCCAAAACAAATGCACACAAAAAATGAAACTTTCCAACACGGAAACTACTAGTCCCAGCTTTCATTATGAGCTTGGCACCCCTGATTAATCAATAGCCACTAATCGGTTATTGAAATACTAATTAAGAAACATATTCATGGTTTCGAAATTCTGCTGAGAGAAGTTTTTATGACTCAGATAATTGTATAATGACGAGAAGAGGACGTTGAAAGTGTCCAAAACAACACTATATAAAGACATAGCTTTATTATTAAATGTCATGTTTCCTTGGCAAACCTTGTCAAAACATCCTCAACTCTGTCCGGCTCCCTGATGGTGTCATGCATGTCTCTCAGATTCCCAGGAGGAGTCCGACGACCAGGCCAAGCTCATAGTGGGCGTGGTGGTGGGGCTGATCCTGGCCGCTGCAGTGGTGGCTCTCATCTACTGGCTGTACATGAAGAACTCGAGGTACACTGCAGCACCCCCACGCATACATTAGCATTTCACAATCACATCTGCAAGTGGCTGACGGCGCGCTCACTGCCACTGCTGCTAGTTAGCCTGCATCCTAAACAGCCGCGCAGGATCATGGAATAATAATGAGCCATTAGCAGCCAAGGCACACGGATTAGGACAAATGCTGCAGGTGCTCTATACTGGTAACTAAGTAACTAAGGATTTTTACTTGTAGTTTTTACTCAAGTACTTTTTTGCCGATTACCAAATATTTATACTTTCTGCTCCTTACATTTTGGATTAAAGGTTATACTTTGCAGATGTCAAAACAACGCTAGAGAAAGAGCGTCCAAATAATGCATTGTGGCTAGCCATGATTCTAAGTTAACACATTATAAAAACTTGCTTTCAACTTGGCTAACTGCTAACATAAAAGAGGAGGATTACATATAGCGCCTTATACATACATGTTTGTCTTACTTCCTTACGTTTACTCAAGTAAAGTTCCTAAAGTGCGTTGGTAAGCAGTTGTGTTGGTGTTATCATGCGGGGGCTGGGGCCTGGCAGGTGGCACACTGCTGATGGAGCACAGAGGGAGGCCAGGGGAGGCAGCCAGGAGAGTGACGTGCCCATGCAGGAGAGATAGCGGCCCTTAGACACGGCAAACTCAGTGAAAGCCGGGTGCCTCTTTGCAGCCAAGCATGCTCGCAGAGAACTGCTTGTATGCCCACCGAGAGCGAGGCAGAGAGGAGCTACTGCTGCTTTTACTGCTGCTGCTACTGCTGCTGTTGCCTGCTTTGGTCAGACAAAATACTTTATGAAAGAAAAATATCAAGTCCGGAATTGGTGTCAAACTTGCTGCTGCTTTTGATGTGTAAAACATGTGGTCTAGTATGAAAGATTATTAACACAAGAATTCTTTTGACCAGAAAGTGGGTTGAGGGCATCTGGGGCTGGGTGGAACACGTCACCAGCTCTTCTGTTTTTTTCGCAGACAAGGAAGCTGGAAGACAAACGAGAAGGAGGTGGGGACCTCCGAGGAGAGCAAGAAGCTGGAGGAGAACAATCACACTGTTTAAGACGCCGCCCTGCCTCCACTAACTGGAATAAAGAGGTACTGGATGAGGATATGCTTGTGCTTGTAGTTGGCTTGCTAAAGTACGGATACAACTTTTCTCATAACTGCAAGTCCTAACTACCACCACAAAGGTTTTTTTTACACATTTACGCACACAGAGCACATTACATACTGTACGTCTCAGTAAACTCAGATCCAGTCGATTCAATCTGCAAAAAGCGTTAATCCCTCCCACCTGTTAACGGAGCTCAATTGAGCAAATCCAGACCTAAATACAAAATGAATTAAGTACGGTGGTTTGGTAAGACCAGGCTAAGACGGATACAGCGGCAGATCACAAAGCAACCTGTAAGAACCACGATGCTCTCTCTGAATACATAAAGCGCCTCAGTGAACCGTGGTGCGGCCGCTTCATGAAGCCTCTAACGTCACCAAATACGTCACCACAAAATAAAACTCCCCTGGATAACTCGGTACATGCCTTGAAGACTCTGAAGTGACTTTATATCACATTTGTGAATATTAAATAAAACTGGCAAATATTTATGATTGTCTCTAATTTAGTATCGCAGCCAAATCCAATATCTCTTTATGCATCAGTTTTGGAGACTTTCCAATGCTCGGTGTCAAGATCAATCCCACCACCCATAATTGCTTTAAATTGATTGTGATGTACTATGTAAGGCTTTTTCCATGTTTACACGCATTTGAATATTCATTATAATTTGTAAATTACAGAAAGGTCATGTTAATTATAGCTCTTCACAAGAATACATCTACGAGACAAATATCATGTTGGAAACAGGGAGCATTTCAATACGTTTGCCCTTTTTGCAGATTTGTTTGATTAAAGAATATTGCATATCAAAAAGAAAAAAGGAAAGGATCTTGACAAGCTTTCTTTGTGTGGAATTAATTGCGTGGTGAAAATAGCAGCTCTCCAGATTTCAGGCGTCACAGTTGTGTAAACAAAGGCACGGCGCTGACAGCTTTTTTGTGTTAATATGACTTCCAAATGATTTTTTATATGGATCTGCCGTGTTTCACTGAACCTGCATTAGTCATTCTCAAAACATCTTCAAGTAAGTCATCGGTGAAATAGTATTAGGTGTCATTTAATGCAACGTTTGTTCTTATTTGTCCTGCTACACCATTAGCTGCTCAATGCGCGTGATTTGACAAAACATAAATTAGCATCATGAAAACTGTAAAGGCAAAGGGTAATATTTGGGTCATAACAGCATCTGTGTCAATATCCCAAACCAAACGTATCCCTGAAAAGCGTAAAGGACCCATATTACGCTTTTTGACTTTTCTCTGGTTTAAAACATGACTACAGTGCTATTTTGCCTTCATACACATGCGCAGAGTGGTTTTTTCATTGATTCCATCAAGCTTTAGTTTGAGAGCGATCTTTCTCTATCATTCTCGAGAGGCACAGAAACGAGCTGTTTCATATCGTGGCGTGCACCAATCCATGACGTTAAAAGCCCGCCTCCAAGAGGTGATTGACAGCAGGGAGAAACTGAACCAGCGAATCAGCGCTGTCTATGGTCAGCCCATCCTCCTGGTCCAGTGTGTGGTCCATAGACAGTAAATAAGCGTCCGTACTTTTTGTGTTATCTTCATGTCAACTTGGAGGAAATGTGTTGTTGGTGTAAATATGTGGCGAGAATATTTGGCGCAAAGACGGAGAATGAGGAGAATGCAGATCGACTTTGTTCACGGGGATCTGCCTCGTATCCAAGAGTTTGAAATCTGCGACGAATTCTGCGAGTGACGGTGACACCCCCAAAGACAGTTCCAGTTACCTTGAAACGGGACCCACTCAAAAGCGGATCTGGAAACCTGGTGTTATTCCAACATAAAAGACGCTAACAGGAGCCTCGGTCTGTGAGAATCAGAATCAGAATCATTTTTATTGCCACGTAAGTAAGAGGTCACAGACTTGGAAATTACTTTGGCTCAGTGCAACAGTCAGAAAGAGATAATAAAAATAAGAAAAAAAAACACTTCTAAAGAATACATTTAAATTTAAAATAGAGTTACAGTTACTATTTACAATATACAAGTGCACATGGTGCACACAATGTAAGGTGACAGCAGTACAGTGAAGTAAAGTGACGTATGATGGGCAGTAAAGTGACTTTATAAAGGGCGGGGGGACAGGTTAAGAAGTGTTCAAGAGTCCAACAGCAGAGGGGAAGAAACTGTTCTTGTGGCGGGAGGTTCTAGTCCTGATGGACCGCAGCCTCCTGCCTGAGGGGAGTGGTTGGAATAGTCCATGTGCAGGTGAGAGGGGTCGGCTGTGATACGACCAGCCCGGCCTCGAGCTCGGGCGACGTACAGGTCCTGCAGCGATGGAAGGCTGCGGCCGATCACTTCCTCTGCAGAGCGCACAATGCTCTGTAGTCTCTGTTTGTCCCTGACTGTGGCTCCAGCGAACCACACGGTGATGGAGGAGGTGATGGAGGAGGTGAGGATGGACTCGATGATGGCCGTGTAGAACTGCACCAACATCTGTGCAGGCAGCTTGGCTTTCCTGAGCTGCCGCAGGAAGTACATCCTCTGCTGGGCCTTCTTGATGAGGGAGCTGATGGTCGGCTCCCACTTGAGGTCCTGGGTGATGGTGGTGCCCAGGAAACGGAAGGACTCCACAGAGGTGATGGGGGAGTCCATCACGGAGGGTGGGGGCGGGGGGACAGTGCTCTTCCTGAAGTCCACAATCATCTCCACTGTCTTCTGGGCGTTCAGCTCCAGGTTGTTAACACTGCACCAGGACACCAGCCGGTCCACCTCCCTCCTGTAGGCGGACTCATCGTTGTTGGAGATGAGTCCAATGAGGGTGGTGTCGTCCGCGAACTTGATCAGCTTCACGGAGTCGTGGCTGGAGGTGCAGTGGTTGGTGTACAGGGAGAAGAGCAGGGGAGAAAGAACACTGCCCTGTGGGACTCCTGTATTTATAATCCGAGAGTCCGAGACATTCTTCCCCAGACGCACTCGCTGCTTCCTGTCCGTCAGGAAGTCAGTGATCCACCTGCAGGTGGAATCGGGCACGTTGAGCTGGGAGAGCTTGTCCTGGAGCAGGGATGGCAGGATTGTGTTGAAGGCAGAGCTGAAGTCCACGAACAGGACCCTGGCGTAGGTCCCCGGGGAGTCCAGGTGCTGTAGGATGTGGTGGAGGGCCAGGTTAATGGCGTCGTCTACAGATCTGTTGGCTCTGTAGGCGAACTGCAGGGGGTCCAGGAGGGGGGAGGTGAGGGACTTGAGATGGGAGAGAACCAGGCGTTCAAATGACTTCATGACGACAGACGTAAGTGCTACAGGTCTGTAGTCGTTGAGTCCTGTGATCCTGGGCTTCTTCGGGACGGGGACAATGATGGAGGATTTGAAGCAGGCCGGGACATGGCAGGACTGTGATGCTAACTCTGTGTGTCACTGTGAACTAAATAATGGATCCAGGACATAGGGCTCTATGTGACGGATTGCCATTGTTGGAAAAAGTTCATTCTCTGGTGTGAAATTACTGTAACAGCCAAAGCTGTACACCAATGCCGCTTTTCCACAGTAACGGTACGGTACGGCACGGTTATTTTGCATTTCCACTAGGGTTGGGCTTGGAATATGGGTACTTTTTTCATACCACCTCGACAGTCGTTCTGTCCGGGCCGAAGCTACACCATAAAGTGACGTCAGCCGACTGCCTTACACTGATTGGTCAACGAGTGTCGTCATAGGAAGCGACGTCCAACACTTTGGTAAAAACCACTCAACCCGCCATCTTTAAAACCGGGTGCTCTGCTTCAATACATCCTCCCATGGATCTATTTTAATAGCGTCCTCCTCACTCCAGAGAAATGGAATCGCACTGAACGCCCCAAAAGTCAGCGTCCTGGTCGGTCGACGAGATCCAAACGTTACTCTCTTTAGGACGAAGAAAAAGAATACAAAGGCAGCTCAAACGCACAACACAGAAGTTTTTCTCAGTCACTTTGGTGCATTTCTCACATCAGACGTAAACTTCTCAAAACTTTTAGTGTCTGAATAGTCATTCCCTATAAAACTAATAGTCCTCATTTCATTGCTTTAGTCATTACATACAGTATTGATGAACTAGTTCTCAAAATCAAGTGCCAGAGTGGGAACATGTTTATTGCTGCCCAAATCTTGAATTTCATGTGCGTTGTGGCGTGTTGTGATGAAGGTTGAGATGAGCGCACACATTTATACCACCTCCTGACTCTGTGTATATTTTGTGCAGACCGTACAACCACCACCAGATTTTTTTGCGTGCCTCATTTACACCCTGATTTGGCCGTACGCAGGTTTCATAAACAAGGGCCAGAGAGAGTAAAGTGTCACAGTGAAAACATGACTAAGTCTTTGACTGTTGTTCATAAACACTGGTGTCAGGACTCATTACTCTGAGACACAGTTTCATTGACATGAAGACTCGCTTTTGAGGAATTAAATTTTCATTTTGAGAAAGTGATGCACTTTTGCAGGTTATGCAAATGTTATACAAATGTGTAACTCTTGTGCAAATGTGAAAAAATTATGTGAGAAATGCACCAAACCGAGAAAAACTGTAATTAAAAACACCCAGACATTTATGTTGTCATATGTCTTCTGCATCGAGCGTGTCGGATACGACCCGCCAGACATTGCCGCATAAATTACACAATTTCTCACGAACGGTAAAATGTAGCAACTTACTTGTTTTTCTCCGGGAAGTACACATTTCAGCCTTTCCTAAACTAGCTCCGGTTTGTCCGTGCTACGTACGGAGGATAAACTACGTGTGTATGAAAGTCAGTCCCCCAATCGGATCTTCGAGCGGCGTCCCGTGAGCCACAAACAGCCAATTGTTAAGTTTGTTCCTCACAAAGATTGTCAGAGAGTAAGATGCCTCACTCCTCTGTGTTTACTTGTTGCAGAATAGGCAGCAGTGCTCAGAGGAGCCAGAGGAGTTTGCATTATTGATATAAACACTAATACAGTAAAATTATACTATGTGTATATACTGTATTTATATATATATATATATATATATATATATATATATATATATATATATATAATACAATCTACAATATGATTCTTCTAAAAACCCAGGCTGTTTTATGACTGTTTCTACACAAAGAAAACCAGGCGAGGAAAGTTCCCCAAAATGACCCACGACCTTGGAGGGTTAATGTTGTTTGCATACGAACAATGACAGACTGGGGAGTAACCGTTGCTTTTACGTGAGAAAAATCCACCCAACTTCAATTCAAAACACTTCTATTCTACCACTAGTTTTTCACATGCTTGAATCTTCTGCCTTTGTCTTGTCTTCAGATCAACTTTTTTGGCCTAAAAACGTAAAAAGAGACGACCACGAACACTGCCTAAAGAATCAAATCACAGGGCTTTTTTTTACCAGAAGATTACATGTTTTCTAATAAGACAGTTGAACTTTTAGAAGACTTTTGGTTCATATCGAAAGTAGCATTTATTGAAGAGAAACAGACACTCCAGCTTGACCACAGTTCTTGAAGTGAGCGCATGCTTGAGGTGATGCGCCACTAAACACACTCATGACACATTCTCCTGCACACTGTAGACCTTGTATTACATCTCGGGGTCAGAGGGAGATTTACCGGGTGTGATGGGCAAGACGGTAAAGGGGAGAAATGACTCACCGCAGAAGAAGACCTCCGAGATTGCTTTGTGCTGTGAGCAGAGTGGTCACGACCTCTCCCGGGGCTCGGAGCACAAACTCAAACCACACACCTTCTGAGATAACTCTGCCACTTCTGCTTGTATCGGCCCACCAGCTTCTGCGCTCTTTGAGGGTGGGCCGATAAGGTGGTTTCAATAGTCAAGGCCACAGGTAGAGCTACTGCACATAGAGCTGATAATCATTTGCCGTAAAAGTGAATGAATATATGTGTGTTGAAAGTTTGAATACTAAAATCAGCCCAAAAATGTGTCTTTGCCTCAAAATGGTCGGACCACTTTTTCCTGGTAAGTTCAGTCAGTCGCAGAGCTGCTTTTTTTCACAAGTTTCCAGGCAAGACTATTTCCTTCATGAATTTTTTAAGTCTCATTATATTGTGCAGATTTTATATTTTAGGAGCCACAAGGAACTTCTCATTAGGAAATTATTGTCAATTTGTGGTGTTTCTTGGAGTCTGATACAAAGTTATAAGCCCCAAACACTTCAGGGGGACCCATTACTTGGAGGGATGGGTCCAATACAGAGGACACGTTCCCTGCAGAGACTTAAATTAACAGTAATAATTGTTGAAAATAAGGCTGTAACTAACTATAATTTGAATGATAGATTAATCCACAAAATCTCAGCAAATGTTTTTTTTTTTCATACAGATGACTTTTTAACATAAGATTGTATGAAAAAAACTGTTTAATGTCATTTGTTAGTCATCTTCTCAACAGTTTATTTCAATAAAAAATTGGTTGCAAATAATAATTTCTCTTGTAATCCTGGTCAAAAATTCCCCCTTAATATAAAAAGTTGCACAACCACCGACAGATGCAAGTGATAAGCAAACCTTCTACAAAAGAAAGGATATTTTGTGAGTCGTACGATCTACTTTTTGGAGCCTTTAACCATGTTACAGCAGTTACTCGTATCAAAAAACAATGTACCGCTCAAATCACATAAATTCTGTGTATTAACACTGAATATTATTTCAACCATATTTTGGACCATCAGTTGTTTTTATAAACGCAAAAGTATCACTCATTAATCTCTATAACCAGTACATTTTCATTTATTTTTTTTATTTTTAATTATTTCAGCATGAATTAGAAGCATCCACATTTATACCATCTAATTGTTTATAGAGCACAGATCACAAACGCTGCACTCGCAAACTCTTTTAAAGCCATTAACGCAATTTATTCACATTAATACCTTCATTACAGAGTATTTAAAGGCGCTTTACTTGAGCCTCAATGCAAAAGCTTTTATGCTCTGAGTGCTCTGCCTTTCACAGCTGTAGAATCCAAACAGTTGCCCAACGGTGTTCATTAGAGCTAATAAATCAGTGCATTTCCCTGATAGTTCTGTGGGCCCAGCTGAGATACAGACAGCGCACTGCGGGCCCAACACTCTCTGAACCACTCAGTTAAAAAGAACTACTTCACCTGATTACTCGCTATAATGCGTTTATTTGTCTCCATGACCGCGGGCGCTGGACCGTCCCATACCAAGTTAAACATTTGACACTTTCATGTTTAGGGAGGACAGACCCAGCAAACACTGTGTAACCAAAGCACAGCCATAATATTGCACAGTGGACCCAGTCACAACCATAACGAGATGATGCACGCCAACAATAATTCAATTCGCACGGCTATTTTTAGTGTTCAGAGCGGACATCTGTAGCCGGCAGCAGAGAGGGCGCCAGAACGGGCAGATTTTTAGCAATGTTCCAGTGGAGTTTTGTTGTTTGTCCAAATGTTATTTCTCAGTTTTAGACTATTCAGAGAAAGTAGGATCACAGCGAGAGTTGTCAGCACAAGGCTGTGTGTGTGGCCATGTTTAAAACAGATTTTACAACACAGCACTTATCTATTCTGCCAGCAGAGACTATTGTTCCGGAAAGAAAACCATTTGAAAGGCTCAAACAAAGAGGTTTAATGATAGGTAACTTTCATATTCCATTATTTCCCTAATGACACCAGGGTTGGTGGCCGTGGGTTTGGTGGAGGCACTTGCGTGGCCCAGGTTCAAAGAAGCAAATACATAATGAACTATCTAAAGGAGCTATATGAAAAATCTGGCCCAAAGTGGTACTGTACTTTTGGCACATTAAAGGGTCAGGACCGTGTAATATACCTGACCCTATTACATCACCCTATTACCCTATCCTATTATTATACGCAGATGAATCCAGCTGGGTCCATTATAACTGAATACACAAGAGTTTTGTAAACAACAAATCTATAACCAACACCTTTTTCACAAAGACATCCCCGATAGAAATCCTTCTGTTATTCCTTGTTTTGTCATTATTTTTTTTAAGAATCATAACAAGACCTTTTTTAGTGCTGCGGACAGTGAGAATAGCTCGATGCGGTGAGTTCTGGCCGGATCACGGACTTTCTGATTGGTGAACGATGGAGGGCGGGACTCAAAAAAATAACACGTTTCAGATCCAATTTTGAAATGTTAATATCCCGACTGAACAACTTATCAGTTTAAGACCATGATTTATTCAAACCTTTTGACATATATGGGCCATTTAATCGCTACTTAAATAAGTTAATTAAACAATAAAATCAAGTCCCAACCCACATACAGACTTTGATTGTCATCGTAGAACAATCAAAGGAGGGGGGGGGTAACTCAAGACGGTCCTTTCCACTTTCTGAACGAATGGAGTCTGAGATCTGAAACAATGTGTTTTGAGCAGGCACATTCTGATATGACCAAAAGCATTGCTCTCACTAACTGTCTGGACAGAATAAAGATATGGCTTAGTGAAAATAGCCTCCAGCTGAACTCTAGTAAAACAGAAACCTTAGTTGTAGCCCCGGACAGTATTGTTTCTGTTATTGCTCAGCACCTTGGTGACCTAAGTAGCTCTGTGAAAGAGTCTGAGGAACCTTGGAGTCACTCTTGATGAACGGTGATCCGAAACTGTAATTTCCACCTGCGCAACATCTCGAAGCTCAGACACATGGTCTCAGCTCAGACACATGGTCTCAGCTCAGACACATGGTCTCAGCTCAGACACATGGTCTCAGCTCAGACACATGGTCTCAGCTCAGACACATGGTCTCAGCTCAGACACATGGTCTCAGCTCAGACACATGGTCTCAGCTCAGACACATGGTCTCAGTTCAGACACATGGTCTCAGGTCAGGAGCTGGAGATGATCGTCCACGCTTTTGTTTCCTCGCGATTTGACTATTGTAACAGCCTGCTTACATGTCTTAATAAGAAAGACCTGGCAAGTTTACAAGGCGTCCAAAATTCTGCTGCGAGGCTTTTGACCCGCACCCACAGGAGAGCACCCACAGGAGAGCACCCACAGGAGAGCACCCACAGGAGAGCACCCACAGGAGAGCACCCACAGGAGAGCCCCCACAGGAGAGCACCCACAGGAGAGCACCCACAGGAGAGCACCCACAGGAGAGCACCCACAGGAGAGCACCCACAGGAGAGCACCCACAGGAGAGCACCCACAGGAGAGCACCCACAGGAGAGCCCCCACAGGAGAGCACCCACAGGAGAGCACCCACAGGAGAGCACCCACAGGAGAGCACCCACAGGAGAGCCCCCACAGGAGAGCACCCACAGGAGAGCACCCACAGGAGAGCCCCCACAGGAGAGCCCCCACAGGAGAGCACCCACAGGAGAGCACCCACAGGAGAGCCCCCACAGGAGAGCACCCACAGGAGAGCACCCACAGGAGAGCACCCACAGGAGAGCACCCACAGGAGAGCCCCCACAGGAGAGCACCCACAGGAGAGCACCCACAGGAGAGCACCCACAGGAGAGCACCCACAGGAGAGCCCCCACAGGAGAGCACCCACAGGAGAGCACCCACAGGAGAGCACCCACAGGAGAGCACCCACAGGAGAGCACCCACAGGAGAGCACCCACAGGAGAGCCCCCACAGGAGAGCACCCACAGGAGAGCACCCACAGGAGAGCCCCCACAGGAGAGCACCCACAGGAGAGCACCCACAGGAGAGCACCCACAGGAGAGCACCCACAGGAGAGCCCCCACAGGAGAGCACCCACAGGAGAGCACCCACAGGAGAGCACCCACAGGAGAGCACCCACAGGAGAGCACCCAGAGGAGGAGAGCCCACATTACTCCTATCTTGAAGGTAGGGCTGGGCGATTAATCGATTTTAATCATTAATTCGAGTTTTACGTTTAGGGCGATTTCTTTTTTTAAAAATTCGATTTTTATTTTCTCCATCGCAGAACTACAGCGCTAACGCGCTAACCGCGGGTCTATGGTGTTGAGCAGTCATTTTGAAGCTAACCTAATGCTAACAGTCTCCCTCTGGCCTGATGCTCGCTCTCACAGTTGGTGCTGTTGCAATAACACTTCAAACGTTCAAGAATCAGACTTTATTTAAATCGCCAGAACACACACACACACACACACAGGCTCCGGTCGTTATGTTCGTACGCCATGTTCGTACGCCATGTTCGTACGCCACATCTTTCACGCTCTCTCACGCTCGTTATTCCAAAGCGCACTCCCGTGTCCGTGGCGCGCACACACTCGTGTCCCACTGAGCCGCTGCACTTTGGGGAAAGACACGTCTCACACATTGTTCTCATTGCTCTGATACAAACAACGTGTTCCCCGCTGTCTGCTAGCTACAGTAGCTGCTACAGTAGCTGTTAGCTACAGTAGCTGCTACAGTAGCTGTTAGCTACAGTAGCTGCTACAGTAGCTGTTAGCTACAGTAGCTGCTACAGTAGCTGTTAGCTACAGTAGCTGCTACAGTAGCTGTTAGCTACAGTAGCTGCTACAGTAGCTGTTAGCTACAGTAGCTGCTACAGTAGCTGTTAGCTACAGTAGCTGCTACAGTAGCTGTTAGCTACAGTAGCTGCTACAGTAGCTGTTAGCTACAGTAGCTGCTACAGTAGCTGTTAGCTACAGTAGCTGCTACAGTAGCTGCTACTGTAGCTGTTAGCTACAGCATCAGAATGTAAACAGGAAGCTCGCACAATGCGGGAGTCACTGAAGTTAGTATTAGTGCCACCAGCTGGACCGAGCGTTGTACTACAGCACAGTTACTCAGGCACAGTTGAAAGAACAAGCATGAAAACCCGAGGAGGCTTTTGGAAAAGACTGTCTGTTACAACATTTCTATTTTGAGTAATCAGTTTTAAAAATGTGATATTTCATGTAAATAATGCATGTGTTTAATGGGATTGATATATTTGCGATGGGCCTTGTTTGTGTGATTTAAGTTATTTTGAAGGTGCATAGTGTCATTGTAAGTGAAGTTATTATAAAACTGTTAAGCTACATTTTCACTGTTTACAATGGCAGAGCCATCTCGTTTACAAGCATGTTTTAAGGCTTAATTCCTGTTACACTTATGCTCCATGGGGATTTAGGCAAGGCAAGGCAAGGCAAGTTTATTTATATAGCACAATTCATACACAAGGCAACTCAAAGTGCTGAACAAGATAGCATTAAAATCATAAATAATCACAGAACATTAAAAAGAAAGATAAAAATATAAAATCCCTCAGTTGTATGCACAGCTAAACGGCACAGTTTTTTAACTTGGTTTTAAACATTGTCAGAGAGGAGGCCTGTCTCACATCTTCAGGAAGAATGTTCCAGATTTTAGCAGCATGAATCTGAAAAGCAGCCTCCCCATGTTTAGTTCTGACTCTGGGCACTAACAGGAGTCCAGTCCCTGTGCTCCTCAGAGTCCGGGCTGGTTCATATGGGACTAACATGTCACTAATATATTTTGGTGCGAGGCCATGGAGAGACTTGTACACAAGCAAAGCTGTTTTAAAGTCTAGATTAAACTGCATAAAGGAAAATCTATTTCTTTGTCAGTTGTAGTTTGTTTTTAAATAGAAAAAAATAAATCGATTAAAATCGAAAATCGGATTTGGTGTGAAAAAATCGGAGATTTTTTTTTTTGCCATATCGCCCAGCCCTACTTGAAGGCCTTACACTGGCTCCCTGTCTCACACAGAATCCATTTTCTGGTGTTGACTTTTAGGGCCCTTCATGGTCAGGCGCCTGAATACATCCAGGGCCTGATCCACCCTTATGTCTCCAACAGAACCCTGAGATCCTCCATTCAGAACCTGTTGATGGTCCCCCGCACTCGCTTTAAAACCAGAGGAGACAGATCCTTCCAGGCAGTTGCTCCTCGCCTTTGGAATGAGCTTCCTCAGTCTCTGCGTATCGTGGAGACTGTTGATGATTTTAAGTCCCAACTAAAGACGTATTTGTTTAGACAGGCTTTCTCTCCGCACTGTTCATAAGCCTCTGTGAATGTAAATTGTGTTTTTCTGTGTTCTGCTTTTATCTGACTTGTATGTGTATTTTATGTGTTTTAATGTGTGAAGCGCTTTGTGATCCTGGTCTGTGAAAGGCGCTATACAAATAAACTTTACTTACTTACTTACTTACTTAACATGTTTTCCAACAGCTGACCCTGCTGCCAGCACAGAACAGATGGTTATGTTTTATTTGAATCAATAGTTAATGATTAATTAATAACTTTTATGAGTATTTGATGTTAATTCATAACACCCCCAAAGATAAATGGGCAAAACTTTCAGTCTCAAGATGTCCAAAACGTGTAGAGTCGTACCCAACAGTTCTGCTGCTGTGATTGCCAGTATTACCCTGTGTATGATTGTGTTCACTTTGCAGTTGTTTCTTTGTTCTGGTCGCGTAAACAAATCTGTGTTTGTGGTTGTAATGTGACAATATGTTAAAAGTTGTATTAGTAATTTTGCAAGCCGCGGATTATTTGACCTCAGTACGTGGGTTATCTTAATTACCTTTATATATTTATTCAGTCATTAGTCAACATATCCATTTCATGAAAAAAAGAAAAGAAAATAGAACTGTTAGAAGACACTTGCCTGACCCTATAACCAAAAAATCTATTACAATACAGTACAATACGATACGCCACGATACGATCCGATACGATACAACTTATTCTTGTATAGCCCTAAATCACAACAGCATCATCTCAGAGACTTAACAAAACCATTGAAATCACCAACACAGATCAGAGAATCAACAGTTAAAACACATGAAGAATATAAAACACATGTTGATAAATGTCATACATGTAGAATGTTAAAGTGTCTGGATCACCACAGTCCTTCTAGTTGGACACTAACTGCCCAACAAGACTCTACTGCATCGGCAAGGAACAACTCACAAAAACCCAGTGGGAAAAAAGTGAGAAACCTCAGGGAGACCCATGGTTTGAGAAAGGGATCCGCTCCCACGGACGGACGGGCTATAGATCCATGAAACAGACAATGGGACAACGGGTGAATAACAATGAATAAACTACAGTCAAAATCCTAATAATGCTAAACAGATAGAGTAGGAAGGAGGAGAGGATAGTGCTCAAGTTACCATACTTCTCCAGCAGGGGGCTCCCTATGCAGCTTGACTGACAATTTAAGATTTTTTGCCGTCCTGGATGTAATTTTATCATTAAAGAAGTGAAGAGGCTCGATTGTGCTATGGCAGTTTGTGGTAAAGAGGTGGTTTAAAAGTTATTTGTGGACATTTGTGTTTGATAGAGAACGCCTTTGAAAATCCACGGCCACTTTGAACCGCCACACAGTAAAAGGCATTATTTCTATTATCCATCATTTGGATCAATATTATGTGCTACTACATTAAATACTGCCCTACTACTATACTGCAAGTACCATAAATTAACTATACGATCTTTATATACCCTTGCCATGCACTTTAAGGAAGACAGGATATACTTAATGCTGTCTTCCTTCAAGTGCTTTTGTCTTTTATGTTGTGTGATATAATAGCAACTTATTTAACCAATATATTTCTGCCATATCCGGATGCTACCTCTGCCTGAAGCAATCTCTGCACCTCTCAACAAACCAGCCGCTGTATTACTAATTGCTCATCTCTATTTTTGAACACACATTTCCCGGCGCCGCGCTGCTTGCAAAACACCCTCATAAATCGCATCATTACCTGTCAAATTCTGCCCCCACCAACCTGAATCAGCACCAGACTTACACGCTAAACGATTCTTAAACGCGACACGTGTGCGTTCCCGCGGATAATTGGAGCGATTGTTAACGCCGTGTTTTGTGTTTGTCTTTGGTCGCAGGATCGTTTGAAGGCGGCCTCGCTTCACCCCGCCATCCAGCCCACCCACCTCCCCCCCAGAAGGCTCCCAGGCGACTGCTTTGACGCGCTCCATCAGGCACCAACATAAGCAGCTACAGTCAGAAGTCTCCGACCCCCCGCGTCCCCTGCCCACGGCCCACACTGCACTGAGGCTGCAGCATTACTGTGTCATCTTGTCATTTCTATTTTTTTTCCCCTTTCCAAATGTTGTGTTCCTGGTGAATGCGCCCTGTTCTCTCTGTTCCAGCGATTTACCGTGCGCACGTTTAGCTGTGCGGGCGCCATTTTCACCATTACTTTCCCATTGTTTTGTTTTGTCTGGAGTATTTTTGTGGATCCCTTTCAAAGAATGTAAATCCATGTACACTTTTTAAAAAGGCCTGTATAAGAAATCAACAATTATGCGTGTTCTCTGGCTGAGCATGCCAAGTTTCATTTCTTTAAGTTGGATTTTTCTGTGCGCTGGGTGAGAAGAAGGCCTCAGATTGAGAAATAGAAAAAAAAAAAAAATCACTGCTGTGAACCGGACCTGTCCACATAGAATAACATTTCAGGCTATTGTGACAGTTTTTGACTCATTTCTTTCTTACTTTCATAACACTGTATATGGCTTGTCACTTCTTTTGACCACAGAAAACACTACGCTTACACAGGTTGCTACGCCAATACGAATGCGTTTCGATTTATGTTACACACTACATGCCTTCACCCGCAGCCATCCTCTTTGCTAGTTTTATTTTGGAAAGCTTTACTGATGCCATGTCTGAATGTTCTGTCTTCTTAATTTGTTGTTGTATTTATAATGTGGAGGGCTGTGCTGCACCATGTTTAATGAATATGTTGTGTTGTTTTTTTTTGCCTTGTTGAAAGGCAGACATCAAGTGTTGCATAGACACTGTACTGTTCCACTGAAGCCAGTATGTGCAGTGTCCAGGCTCAATCTGCTGTATTAAAATGACCAT